GCTGAGGGAATGGGAAGGGCGGGAGGGGAGCTGCGGCTGAGGGGACGGGGAGGACGCGAGGCGACCGGGGCTGAGGGATGGGGAAGTCGGGAGGGGACCCGCGGCTGAAGGGATCAGGAGAGTGGAAGTCGGGAGGGGACCCCTGACGGGGAGGGTAAGAGGGAGGGAACCCAGGGCCGAGAGAACAGGTCCCGTGTGAGGGCTGGGGAGACAGGCCGGCGAGGGTAGGGGTGCGCAAGGCTGTGTGGTTTGTGGGCTGTTGTGCTTGGACTGTTGTGCAGGACGGGTCCAAGAATGTGGGGGCGGGACTGTCCTGGGGATGCAGAGCCCAGGATTGGTGCATGGGGCTGAGAGGACCAGCATTTGAGCTGGAGGGCAGGAAGGTGACTCCAATCTGAGACCAGGACTTGGATACGGCTCCACTGGAACTCACCCTATCCTGGGAGCCACCTGGGCACCTGTGCTGCAGATGCAGGATTTGAACCCAGGTCTGGCCACTCCGTTCCCACTCTTCTGCTATGAATGCTGGGCCAGAAGCCTTCTCAAAGCTCCCTGGCTTGTCTCACCTGATGGTTCCTGACCAAGACCACAGGGTACCCTCCCCTGGTGGAGGTCCATGGGGCCACCCTAGGCTGGAGTTCAGGGACAGTGCAGCGGTATGAAGGAGCACTGGAGCTGAATGGACCCCAGGGTCCCCCGAATGCTCTCCCAGTCTTGGGGCACCACTTTCCTACCCTTCTCTACTTTTCTACTTTTCCTACCCTTCTCTACCTTTTTCCTTCCTATTTTTGTGTCCCTGCCACACTGTGAACTCAGCCCTATCTTCCTCTTCCCTCTTCGCTTTGGGGAAAGCTAGCGAAGTTCATCTAAGGTACAGTACAAGTTACTTTTCTGTTCGATTGGTGACCTCAAACTTCCCCCATCTAAAGGACGCCTTAGACCTCAGCATTCTATCTGTGCAGAAAGTCTCCTACACCCATCCTGCCTCCCTGCCCAAGCTTGTGAAAAGTTTGCTGCAGATGCTGCAGGAGGATGGGGATCCACACAGCCCTGCAAGGCCTCAGGAGCCTCTGGGAGCTGCTTTGTATGTGAGCTGCACTTGGCCAAGCCAAGCTCTGGCAGTTGCAGTGGCTGCTCCCTGTGGCTTCCTATCCCTCATCCATGCTCCAAATCTCCTCAGCAACCATCTGCCAAAAAGCTGCGTGGCAACACCTGGCTCAGAATCTGATATCATCCCAGACTAAGCTCTGCCCTCCAGAGTTGTATGTGTGGGTTTGCTTCCTGGTTCTTGGCCTTATACCTGAATGTGTCTCAGAGCACTTGGCCTGCTCTCTTGGCCTGCCAACTGTGTTCTAGGAGGGCTCTGTGCTCCAGGTTGTGATTTGGACAACTGGCTTGCGGCCCTCATCCAGTGAAAGGCCTCTTTCCACACACCTGGGGTCTGGCAGTCACACCTCAGTGGCACTGTCAGAGGCCTACTTCAAAGCAGACTCCTATTCCCAAGGAAATCCAGCTTGACAAGGTTTGAGAGACCCCAGGAGGGTAACACAATGTGGTCCCTTCTGGAATATAGCAGACAGACTCTAGAATGACTCCCATGACCCCCACCTCCTGCTATGCATGCCCTTGTGTGATCTTACCTTGAGTGTGTGCATGACCTGTGCCTTGTTGTAACTAATAGAATACACAGAGGTAATGGGGTGTCACTTTTGTGATAGCAGTCTATCCCTTGCTAGCTTTAATAAAGTGAGCTGCTAGGCTATGAGCTGTCCTGTGAAGAGGCCCATGTGGCAGGGTACTGGGATTGCTTCCAGCCCCCAACTAGCAAGAAACTGGGGCCCTCAATCATCCCATCTACAGGAGTTGAGTGTGGCTAGCAACACTCAAACACTGAAGCTTAAATGTGAGCTTCAGAAGTGGCTTCTTTCCTGGTCATGCCTGAAGGGGAGACCACAGCCCCAACTGACACCTTGATTGACGCCTAATGGGACCTTGAGCAGAGAACCCAACAAAGCCACACTTGGGCTGATCTACAAAAACTGGGAGATCATAAATATGTGTTGTTTTAAGTTGCTCATTTGTAGTGAGTGATGTTCTTATGCAGCATAGATAACTCATACACAGAGAACCAAGGCCACGTGAGAACCCTGTGGGGGCCCCTGCTGCTCAGCCACTTCTCATGTGCTAGGACAGCTGTCTCTCTGGCCTCTAGCACCAAGGTCCCCACTATCCCAGGCCTTGACTCTGGGATCAGAGAGGGATAAAAGCCCCATGGAGCCAGGCAGACTCCTCCCTCTGCAGTGCTCCCTGGGCTGCACTCACCTAGCTTGTCTGGCACACACAAGTTGGAGTAGAGGAGGCAGGAAGCCCTGGGAAGGGAGGGGGTGACAGCCTTGCTTAACTGTGGGATGAGTGCCCACCAAATTTCCCTTCCCCCTTCCCCTGCTTGTGAGCCCCCAGGGGACCTGTGTCAGTTCACTTTCTAGAGGCTTCTATGTCCCCTAACTTGGATGACACCCATGGGCCTCCCCAACTCAGCACAGGGAACATATGCCCATGGTGGCATGGGGAAAGAACCCAGCCTCTCCCCTGCCCAGGCTCCTGCACCCCATAGCTGTCACTCCTCTGGAACCTCTCAGGGCAGCACAAGGAGTGGTAGCCTCAGAGTGGCCTTCACCCTTCAGGCACTGTCATCCTCCAGATTGGCTACAGCCCAGCTCTTGCTCCCATGCCCACAGCCATGAGAACAGCCACCTCCCCAGGGGTCCATGAGTGCTACTCACCAGGAGCCCACCCAAGCCAGGAGGGAGCTGGGGGCAAGTTCCAACCTCCCCCTTGAACACTGCATACCCATGAACCCAGCAGGAGCATCTGAGGGCAGCTGGGAAGAGATCTGACCACTGAAAGACTATAGGGAACCCCTTGAACCTCACTCCACTACCGCACGTGGATTTGCTTCCTGTGGGCTGCCCAAGAGAGCCTCTGTGATAAAGGAAGCTTCTGAGAATGAGCCACTAAAGATGACCAAGGACACCTTTCTGTGCTGTCCCCACTCTGCACTCTATCTCCCATCCCACACTGCCTCCAGCTGGAGGAAGGAAGGGAGGGTTGAGAGACCAGGATTCACAGTGTCCTTGCCACACTGTGAACTCAGCCCTATCTTCCTTGTCTTCCTCACAGCCTCTAGCTCAGAGGAGGACCTGGACAAATGGATGATACATAGGCAACCACTCTAATGTTCCTCCTTGACTGTTCTCTAGAGCTACTTAGTAGAGACCAGAGTGTGTGGGTGGAAAGCACTGGTAAACTTCCACCCGTAGACAGAAGACCTCAGCAGCCTTCACCGTGGGATGCAGCACTTTCTTTATTGCCCATCCAGGGAACAGCCAAGCCAGCTCCATCTGCATTCTGGCTGCAGCATGTACATTAGGAGACTCAGGGGCCACAGTGTGGGACCGTGCACGCTGGCAAGGCACTGGTGGATGCTGGCAAGCAAGTGGACATGGATAGATGAGAATGACAACTCACAGATGTCCTGGCTTCTGCTGACCCGGCTGCCAGCCACTGGACGCCATCACCTTCTGCCTAGCACGTGTGTATTGTCACACAAAACATCTTGAAGCTTGCCATTAGTGAGAATTCAACAAAGAAGTAAGCTAAGAGAGAAGGAAACAGTGTCTCCTGGAATATACCGCACTCTGCCTGAAATAGGAAAACTATGTTTGCCAGGAAGCAGCAGCAGCAGGAAAGAAGTTATACCAAAAACTACTCGTACACCACAGACATTAGAACCCTTTCCTCAAAGAAACACTCATGTTCTGTTGGGTATTATGGACAGGTCTCTTGAAATTTTTCTAATAAAGACCAACAAACTTTCCCAGCAATGCCTCTGAGTACCGTGTGAATTCTGGTGTCTTGTGGGAAGTCAGGGTGCCTTCTTTGCATCCAAAGCTTTGGTTCCATTTTAGGAGGGCAGTGTGATGGTGACAAAGGTGTTCTGGTCATTTCTGCTCTGTTCTCAGTTCTGTGAAGTGAGGTGGATGTAATGTGCTGTGGGATGGGGTGCTCCATATGTGTGTGTAGCCTTTACTTTCCAACTTAGTTTTTTGCATCTCTCTTATGCTGATGAGCCATACCTCTCAGCCTTCATTTGGTCACAGGACTGAGCCTTTGCCTACATCATCAGCTTTTTTGTCCTGCTCTAGCAGGATTAACTCTGTTCTTGCCGCAGATGTCACCGTCACTCTGGAGTCCAGCCCAGTGCTCACAGGCCTGACCAGTTCACCCTCTTCCTTCTCTTCAGGGGAGAAACTTTCTTGGGCATCAAAAAAGGTGATTGTTTCTTCTTGAAGTTTTTGTTCTTCCAGCTCTGCCTCATCTTCGGTGCTTTTGCTTTTCTTGGTAGGAGATGAGGAGAACCCTAATTTGGGAAATCGGAACCAGCCTGCCTTCTCCTGTTTTTTAGGCAGTTCTGCCTCTGGTCGTGCCTCAGGCTGTGTTTGAATAGGAGCAGATCTCTGGATGTCATTTTTGGAATCGACACCTGTCTCATCAACAGAAGAGGAAAACCCAATATTTGGAAGCCAAAACCAGAGCAGACCAGATTTTTTACTTTCTGGTTTCTCTTTTGGAGCCCTGCCTTCATCCACCAGTGGTGTGGTTGCCTCTTGGCTATCATCAGGGGGAAACTCAAGAATTTCTGCTGGCTCCTCATCTGAACAGCTGTCTGCAAGCTGATGGCCAGAAGGAAGTTCAAATGTGAGTGTTTGCTGTCCCAGTACATTGACGCTGGAAGAGATCATCTCAAATGGTTCTCCAGTGTCAGGCTGGAGATCTCCAGAAATGGAGTCTGCTCCTGGGGCAGCTTGTGTGGGAGCCTCTTCTGCGCCCTCCTGAGTCCTAGAGTGCTGAGTCACTGTTGTGTACACTCTAGCCTGCGTGTGGGGCTCTGGGATTTTCACCTTTAATAAGGAAAATCCATATGAAGGTGTTTGAATCTCTGATGCAGGGATCTCTGATTCCCGCACAATCTGAGTGGAAAAATCCCTGGGTGCTGAGAGATCTACAAACTCTGGTGTCACTATGCTGTGTATAGTGACTTCTTGACTTTCAACCTGAGCACCCTGAATATGCACTCTGACCTTTGAAATTGGGGAAGCTTCCAAAGGCAGGTTAAGCTCCATAGGCTGCTCCCTGGGGACCCCAGCACCTGCCTTCAGGATGCTGGCTCCCCAGAGCCCTGGACTTTCCTTACAAAGGGCTATGTCAATATTTGCCTCTGGACACTGCACTTCCCTCACAGTGGGGATGAACACGTCATCCTCTGAGCTGGGGGCAGGGAAGGAGAACCTCGGTACCTTTAATTTGGGGAATTTGACAGTTAGTACAGAATCTTCCCACAGTTGATCCATATTAACCACAGAAATCTGGGATGGCATATCAGTACTTGAAGCTTTCAGTTTAAGTGGACCTTCAGGCTGGGATGACCATGTCTCTGTTTTATCCTCCATGCTGGCAAGGTCATGTCCTGGCTTGGAAAGAGGAGTCTCATCTATTTCTCCTGGAAGAACCTGGGTTTCTGGAAGCCTCATGCCAGGCATCTGAAAAGGGAGAGGTCCTTTGGTTGGATGGATCCTGACCTCAGAAGTGGAAAGCTCATCCCCGGTCATTCCAGCAGTGGAAAGGTGCAGCTTCAAGCCTGTGCTGTCAAGATCACACCTTAGAACATCTGTGGATGATTTGCTCTCAGAAGCTGTCACTTCTGCATCTGCCTCTGGGAGCTGTAGGGACATACTTGCCTCCATGTTTGACCCAGAAACAAGGAACTCTTTGATTCTAGCTGCTGCTTCATCCCCTGTTGCTGCAGGTGCCTGTGTCTGAGCCACTTCCAGCTTTCCAGCCCCGCCTCTGTCCCTGGAAGAGCGCCTAAGGCTGGGCATGCGGAACTTGGGCATTTTAAACCAGCTTTCCTGTGAGTCCCTGGTCGTGGCTTCCTCCTCTGGGCTTTCCACTGTGGGGACTTCAGCATCTGGTTTTCTACAGGATGGCTGGAGGGAGTCTTCAGGTGTGGGAGCTATCCCCTCCCCACAAGGCTGGCTTGCTGGGACATCGCCGAGCCCACATCCTCTGCTGTCACCTTCGGTAGACAGATCATGTTTGGGAAGAGGCAGGTCAGCTTCAGACTGGCTCACCTGCCCCTTGGCCTTGGAGGATCTGAGATCAGGTTTGGCAAAGCCCAAACTGGGAATGCGGACCTGTGGACAGGGGAGGTTCACACCCTCACCTTCTGTGGCACTTGCTGTTGCACCAAGTCCTCCCCCACCACCGTCAGTGCTGGCCTTTTCTGTGTCTTGAAAGCTACCCCCTGCTGTGACACTAGAAAGAGAAGGATCCATGTCTCTCTGTGGCAGGCTGACCCCACTCTTAGAAGCCTTCATTTTGGGTAGTGCAAGTTTTGGCATAGCGAAGCCAGGCTTTGTGCTCCTTTCCTTCTCTCCATCCCTCTCAGGAGGCAGATCTATGTGCATGGCAGACTGCGGGGCCACTTCATCCTTGTCTAAAACCAGGCTGAGTTTTGAGTCCTCCACGCTGCATTCTGGGTCCACCTTTGGCCCTGCTTCCTTCTTCGGGGACCACCTAAATGATGGAAGCTTAATCTTAGGCATTTTGAAGGGACTCCCTTTCCCTTCGTGGTCAGTATCTTCAGAAGGGGCTTCTCCGGGGACCGCTACTGATGTCTGCAAGGAGGCCACAAGCTCTTCCGGACCCTGGGACACAGAGGTGCCTGGGGATGGCAGATGGGTGCTTGGCAAGGGGCACTGCACTCCCTCTCCAGGGCTAAGAGGAGACATGACTGGGGCACCCGCTGCTGCATGTAAGTCTCCCTCAGGAACTGACATTTGGGGAACTGAAAACACAAACTTTGGTTTATAGAATTTAGGAAAAGACACCTGACCAAGAGAAACAGGAATCATGGAATTCAGTGGACCAGAGTGACTCTCCGTTTCAGATATTGGAACTCCCTCTGGAGGTTGCAGGTCAGCAGAGCACTCTGTCTTGGGAAGAGGAAACTCAGCCTGAGACCCAGAAGGAATTTCCAGAGCAAGCTCAGGGGCCAAGGCAGCTCTGGGAACGGTCACCTGGTATTTTGTAAGTGTAACACCCTCACAGGGAGAGAGAATAGAAGATTCAAAGTGAGGACCAGTGAGATCAATCCGTGATGATGGAAACCCAGTCAAACCAACCTCAGGCATCTGCATGGATGGCTCTGAACCACCCGAAACCTGCTGTAATTCACAACTTGGGGATTCTGAAGATGATAAGGGAATCATGGAAAGACCTACGCTAGATTCTGCACCTGAGACTAAACTATCTTTAGCAGTTTTGGCAGAAGAAAATGAAACTTTGGGCATTTTAAAATGCAGTTTCTTAAACTTCGAATCCACTCCAGCTTCTCCAACAGCAAGCCCCAGGTTACTGTCGCGTGATGGATCATGAAGATCACCTTCACGAACAACAGACTCCACAATGGGAAATGCTGAAGTCTTCTCACGGAATGTAACATTTCCTTTGATTTCAGAGGATGACACGGAAATTTTCTTTGACGAGCATTCAGCACCAGACGTGCTCAGTTTTTGCACTTGAAACTTGCTGTCTTTTGCAGCTAAATCCTCGTGGACCAGGGACAGGTCCCCCTCTAGCCCCGCGCCGTGAAACATTGCTCCTGGGGCCTGGATGTCCACCTCCGTGCTGGGCAGAGACACCTCCACGTCGGGGACCATCACTTCAGCCTTGAGGCTTTTCAGGTCCAGCTTGCGGCCCGTGACGTCCACCTGGGGGCCCTTGAAACTGGGCATCTGCAGCTTGAGCAGGTGCCCTTTGAGGCTGGCTCCCTCGGGCACGTGGCCCTCCAGGAGCTTCACGTCCACCGGGCCAGCCTGGACCTCCAGGTTGGTGGAAGGGGGCTGAAAGCTGAGGTCACTGGTCTTGAGGTCACCCTGCACGGAGGGGAGGCTCACGTCGGCCTCCACCTTTGGCACAGACACGTCCACTGAGGCCTCAATGGACTTCGCTGGGGCCGACACCCCAAACGACGGCATCTTGAACTTGGGCATTTTGGACTTGCTGTCTTTAGTGGTCACGTCCTTTTCAGCCAGGGACAGGTGCCCCTCCAGCCCCCTGGTGTCCAGCTTGGCTCCTGTGGCCTGGACGTCCACCTCCACGCTGGGCAGAGACACCTCCACGTCGGGGACCGTCACCTCTGCCTTAGGGCCTTTCAGGTCCAACTTGGGGCCCTTGACATCCACCTGGGGGCCCTTGAGGTCTACCTTGGGCATCTTGAAACTGGGCATCTGCACCTTGGGCAGGTGCCCTTTGAGGCTGGCTCCCTCGGGCATGTGGCCCTCAGGGAGCTTCATGTCCACCTGGACAGCCTGTATCTCCAGCTCGGCGGAAGGGGACTGAATGCTGAGGTCAGTGGTCTTGAGGTCACCCTGCATGGAAGGCAGGCTCACGTCGGCCTCCAGCTTTGGTACGGACATGTCCACCAAGGGCTCAATGGACTTGCCTGGGGCCGACACCCCAAAGGACGGCATCTTGAACTTGGGCATTTTGAACTTGCTGTCTTTCACAGTCACGTCCTTGTCAGCCAGGGACAGGTCCCCCTCCAGCCGTGCACCGTCCAGCTTGGCTCCCAGGGCCTGGATGTCCACCTCCACGCTGGGCAGAGACACATCCACGTCGGGGGTCATCACTTCCACCTTGGGGCTCTTCAGGTCTAGCTTGGGGCCCTTGAGGTCTACTTTGCGCATCTTGAAACTGGGCATCTGCACCTTGGGCAGGTGCACTTTGAGGCTGGCTCCCTCGGGCACATGACCCTCCGGGAGCTTCACGTCCACCTGGACAGCCTGGACCTCCAGCTCAGCAGAAGAGGGCTGAATGCTGAGGTCCGTGGTCTTGAGGTCCCCCTGCATGGAGGGGAGGCTCACGTCGGCTTCCACCTTCGGCACAGACACGTCCACGGAGGCCTCCATGGACTTGCCTGGGGCGGACAGCCCGAACGATGGCATCTTGAACTTGGGCATTTTGAATTTGCTGTCTTTGGCGGTCACGTCCTTGTCAGCCAGGGATAGGTCCCCCTCCAGCCGCGCGCCATCCAGTTGGACTCCTGGGGCCAGGACATCCACCTCCACGCTAGGCAGAGACACCTCCACATCAGGGGCCGTCACCTCTGCCTTGGGGCCTTTCAGGTCCAGCTTGGGGCCCTTGATATCCACCTGGGGGCCTTTGAGGTCCACTTTGGGCATCTTCAAACTGGGCATCTGCACCTTGGGCAGGTGCCCTTTGACGCCGGCTCCTTCGGGCAAGTGGCCCTCTGGGAGCGTCATGTCCACCTGGACAGCCTGGACTTCCAGGTCGGCGGATGGGGGCTGAATGCTGAGGTCCGTGGTCTTGAGGTCCCCCTGCATGGAGGGGAGGCTCACGTCGGCCTCCACCTTCGGCACACACACGTCCACCGAGGCCTCGATGGACTTGCCTGGGGCCGACACCCCGAAGGATGGCATCTTGAACTTGGGCATTTTGAACTTGCTGTGTTTGGTGGTCACGTCCTTGTCAGCCAGGGACAGTTCCCCCTCCAGCTGGGCATCATCCAGCTTGGCTCCCGGAGCCTGGATTTCCACCTCCATGCTGTGCCGGGACACCTCCACGTCGGGGGCCGTCACCTGCACCTTGGGGCCCTTCAGGTCCAGCTTGGAGCCCTTGATATCCACCTGGGGGCCTTTGAGGTCCACTTTGGGCATCTTCAAACTGGGTATCTGCACCTTGGGCAGGTGCCCTTTGAGGCCAGCTTCCTCGGGCAGGTGGTCCTCCGGGAGCGTAACGTCTACTTGGCCAGCCTGGACCTCCAGGTCGGCGGGTGGTGGCTGAATGCTGAGGTCTGTGGTCTTGAGGTCCCCCTGCATGGATAGGAGGCTCACGTCGGCCTCCACCTTTGGCGCAGACACGTCCACTGAGGCCTCCATGGACTTGCCTGGGGTGGACACCCCAAAGGACGGCATCTTGAACTTGGGCATTTTGAACTTGCTGTCTTTCGCGGTCACATCCTTGTCAGCCAGGGACAGGTCCCCCTCCAGCCGTGTGCTGTCCAGCTTGGCTCCTGGGGCCTGAATGTCCACCTCCACGCTGGGCAGAGACACATCCACGTCGGGGGTCGTCACTTCCGCCTTGGGGCCTTTCAGGTCCAGCTTGGGGCCCTTGAGGTCCACTTTGGGCATCTCAAAACTGGGCATCTGCACCTTGGGCAGGTGCCCTTTGAGGCTGGCTCCCTCGGGCACGTGGCCCTCGGGGAGTGTCATGTCCACCTGGACAGCCTGGACCTCCACCTCAGTGGAAGGGGGCTCAATGCTGAGGTCAGTGGTCTTGAGGTCCCCCTGAATGGAGGGGAGGCTCAGTTCGGCCTCCACCTTTGGTGTAGACACGTCCATTGAGGCCTCGATGGACTTGCCTGGGGCCGACACCCCGAAGGACGGCATCTTGAACTTGGGCATTTTGAACTTGCTGTCTTTGGTGGTCAAGTCCTTGTCGGCTACGGACAGGTCCCCCTCCAGCCGTGTGCGGTCCAGCTTGGCTCCCGGGACCTGGATGTCCACCTCCACGTTGGGCAGAGACACCTCCACGTCGGGGGCCGTCACCTCCGCCTTGGGGCCTTTCAGGTCCAGCTTGGGGCCCTTGATATCCACCTGGGGGCCTTTGAGGTCCACTTTGGGCATCTTCAAACTGGGCATCTGCACCTTGGGCAGGTGCCCTTTGAGGCCGGCTCCCTCAGGCACGTAGCCTTCTGGGAGCGTCATGTCCACCTGGACAGCCTGGACCTCCAGGTCTGTCTCTTATACACATCTAGATGTGTATAAGAGACAGGAGGTCAGTGGTCTTGAGGTCCCCCTGAATGGAGGGGAGGCTCAGTTCGGCCTCCACCTTTGGTGTAGACACGTCCATCGAGGCCTCGATGGACTTGCCTGGGGCCGACACCCCGAAGGACGGCATCTTGAACTTGGGCATTTTGAACTTGCTGTCTTTGGCGGTCACATCCTTATGGGCCAGGGACAGGTCCCCCTCCAGCCCCACGCCGTCCAGTTTGGCTGCCGGGGCCTGGACGTCAACCTCCACGCTGGGCAGAGACACCTCCATGTCGGGGGCCGTCTCCTCCACCTTGGAGCCCTTCAGGTCTAGCTTGGGGCCCTTGATGTGCACCTGGGGGCCCTTGAGGTCCACTTTGGGCATCTTGAAACTGGGCATCTCCACCTTGGGCAGGTGCCCTTTGAC